CGCTCCTCTTTTGACATTTATTTCTTGTGTTTGCACGAAACCTCCTCCATCTACCTGGCTGTCAGGGCGTTGAACTACTGCTTGGTCAGCTGCTGCAGGAATGAGCACACTCTTCTCTTTACTTCCTCTCCTCTGCCTGAGCTGATGGTGATGCGGGGCGCTCCTCGCGGCAGTGATGCGCCTGATGGAGTGTGTTTGGGTGTGAGGACTGGTGTTTGAGGACACAGATGTCTTTCAGATATTTCGACTAATGAATACCTGGAGAATTTACCGGTACGCTCTGTACCCTAGAAAAAAGTGCTGGTATGCTGAAAGGTTATATTTAGAAGTGGCGGCAGTACTGGTACCGGTCCAAAGCGCTGCTCTGTGTCCCTAAAGGACATAAGTCTGATGATCTGATCATCACAGGCCAGCCTGGACATGCATCTGTGGCCAGAGCTTTCTTCTTTTGCTATCTCTCCTGTTCTGCTCCACCTCTCCTGGCCCATCAAGGCCCATTTGCCTCTGGGGCCAAAGGTGCACTAGCGCTGTGCGGTGGGGGTGTCTGCAGCTATTTGCCAGACCCCGACAGAGGAGGGGGTGCCTTTGTGTCCAGTTTACTCTGTTTGTGTGAGCATCAGGAGAGCCGATGCCCTGATGGGCTGCATGAGGGATTGTTCATTTAGATATCGTGCCCTAGGACCGTCAGCAACCACTGTGCAGTCCAGATTAATGGCCAGGCCACCGGGAAATCTCCCGTTTCTCCCAATTACCAATCCACCACTGGTGCTTGTCCATGTAAGGCCCTGAAGACCAGAACCAGGATCTTGAAATGAACCCTGAAGTCGACTGGCAGCCAGTGAAGCTGGAGGAGAAGCGGGGTGATGTGGGTGTGTTTGGAGGACTTGGTCAGAAGCCGAGCACAGGCGTTCTGAACCACCTGTAGACGGTTCAGGGAGGTTCTGCTCAGACACGTGAAAAGAGAGTTACAGTAGTCTAAGTGTGAGGAGATGAAGGTGTGGAGAACTGTCTCAAGTTCAGAGCGGGACAGAATGGGACTCAGCTTAGCAACGTTCCTGAGATGGAAGAAGGAAGAACGAACAAGAGAACTGACATGAGAATCCAGGGCGAGAGCTGGGTCAAAGGTCATGCCAAGATTCCTGACAGAGGGTTTGGTGTGATCTTCATTCAGCTGTAGAAAGCTCCCACCATCCAGGTTTTGATAGAGTCTAAGCAGGTGTGTAACAGCTGCAGCTTAGACATCTCATGGGGCTTAAAGGAGATGTACAGTTGGATGTCATCTGCATAAAGATGGTAGGAGATTCCTTTGAATGAGCTCAGGATGTGCTGAAGAGGAAGCAGATAGAGGAGGAAGAGCAGAGGCCCCAGCACAGAACCTTGTGGGACACCATGGGTAAGAGAGGTGGTGGAGGACCTAAACTTGGAGACGGCCACAGAAAAGGAGCGCTCAGAGAGATAAGAGGAGAACCACTCCAGAGCAGTTCCTGATAGGCCTACCCAGTCTCTCAGCCTCTCCAGTAGCAGGTGATGGTCAACAGTGTCAAAGGCTGCAGTCAGGTCCAGCAGGACCAGAACAGAACAGTCCCCTGCATCACTGTGAGTCAGAAGGTCATTAGAGACCCTAAGAAGAGCTGTTTCAGTAGAATGAGCTCTACGAAAACCTGACTGGAAGCTATCATAGATGTTATGTTCATCAAGAGCAGCTGTGAGTTGTTTAGCCACAAACTTTTCCAAGATCTTGGAGATGAAGATGGGTCTGAAGCTGCTATGGAGAGAGGGGTCGAGACTCGGTTTTTATAAGAAGCAGGTGGATTACAGCGTTCTTAAAGTATGATGCAGAAACTGACAAGTTAAAGAAAATGTAATGTTGATCTGTAACAAACCTCCTCAGGACAAACTGTCAGCATTTGGACCCAGGGTAAAGAAGGTCCAGACTGTGTAAGTGTTTTTCTCCCCAGAAGAAGCTACAACGATGTTCTGCTGAGCTGTGGTGGCCTCATGGAGGGGGCCATCGTCCAGCACACTGCTGCTAACCACTTAAACATTCTCCCTCTCCTGTGTGCGTGTGTGTGTGTGTGTGTGTGTGTGTGTGTGTGTGTGTGTGTGTGTGTGTGTGTGTGTGTGTGTGCATGCGTGTGTGTGCGTGTGTGTGTGTGTGCGTGTGTGCGCGCGTGTGTGTGCGTGCGTGTGCGCACGTGTGTGTGTGCGTGTGTGTGTGTGTGTGCGCGTGTGTGTGTGCGTGTGTGCGTGTGTGTGTGTGTGCGCGTGTGCGTGTGTGTGTGTGTGTGTGCGACTCACGTTTCCTTGAACGATGTAGCTGTCATCGTTCCTGATGTCTCGAGCCAAGCCGAAGTCGCAGATCTTTGCAACATGGCGATCTGTGAGTAGCACGTTCCTCGCTGCTACGTCTCTGTGGATACACTGAGAGACAGACAAGTCACGGCGAGGACTCCGATAGGAAACAGAGCAGAAAATCCAGAAGTCCCTACAGCATGCTTGTCAAAAGCTACATTTTCAGTCATTAGACAGGCTCAGGTTAAAACCTGAAGAGAGTCCAATCCCAGACAAGGTGCTGGGTTGTTGTTTCAGATACATGACAGCTAACCCTGTATGAAGGCGAGGCAGCCTGGTTTCTGAAGCGGACACTGAAGCAACTCGGTGTGCAGTCCAGCAGCAGGAATGGCCAGAACATAAAACATTAAAGGTGACAACATCAAACAGCAGATTTTACATTCACCCATAAAATGAAATAAGATTAGATGTAAGACTTAAAAAGAAACAAAGTTAAAGGGTGAGCAGCTACAGCAGAGCGTGCAGCATGTTCAACATTGTGTCAAAGGCTGATGAAAACATGAAGGTTTCTAACGCCGGGGCAGATCTGAGGTCTTGAGGAAGCGGGATCCATTTGTGAGCAGCTTCACCCTGTTTGGTTCTGACCCGGCTCTACCAGCTGACCGCTTCCTCAGGATCTCAGAGCCGTGCTGGACGTATACACCTGAAGGAGATCTGACACCTTTTCGTCCTTCTGCTGGATGCTAAAGTTAGCTTTATTGTTGTATAAGGAAATGATTCCTAGTTCAAACCCCCTTCTAGGCTGCCGATGTCTGCACAAGGCTGCAGATTTGCCTCTGAGTCTGGGTGGAAGGTAGACTCAGAAACAACCAACCATGGTTAACATGGTTAGGTCTGTCTCTAAGAACGGTGAACCAGCAGGTAAACCACCTGCAGCTCATCACAGCTACAGGTGGTTTACCTGCTGTGTGCTGAGCACTAACGCCAGTAACATTACTATGTAGGACTCGTCTCATCAGCAAACTTACTTAACTTTAAGTGACTTACACGTTTCTTTAAAAATAGCTCCGTATGTCCTCGACCTTCTGTTTTGCCTCCGTCCTCATGTAAACTACTTTTGTGAGACTCTTATTTTAACAGTCAGACAGGAAGTGGTGTACAGCTCTTTTATTGTGTTGACTGGAAGTGTGTGGGCTGGTCGTAGGGGACTGCTGTAATGTGATGAAGCCTCTCATGTTCATTGCCATGTTCCTCTCTTCATGTGCAGCTTTATACCGTTAAGAGTCGTCCTCTCAGGACCCTCGGGTACACTCACTCGCATTTGGCCCATGCGTCACCCACGCCGCGGTGCAGACGCATGAGTCTTATACGACTGGAGCATTTTCATTTGGCGCCGGAGGTAGGACTAGAGGACAGAACGCCACTCTAGGGTAACAAGACATTGAATGGCTTGTTGCTTTTGGGTAGAGGCCGTTAAGTTATTGGTGTGGGCTATGTGGTCCACTCTGGATGTTGGTGGGGACGTGTTATCTCCACCCATGCCAAACCCACGTCCATGTAAGAGCCACTTTAAAGTCCTCAATGACATTTTTTAACGGGGCATGCTTGGAAACAAGCTCCGGCACCATGAAAGTAAACCTCACATCTCTGAAGCTGATCTTCACCCATGTGTCACATGACCAGGAAGCAGAAAATCCACGACTTAGGCGATGTTTTTGGGCCGCTGCTGTGAAAAACGAGGGGCGAACCGGAAAAGCTTCTGCAGCTCACACTTTGACAACGGATGGTGAGAGAACAGAAAACGCTAGAATTACCCTGAATCGTCCTGACGTAAGGAGTGAGTCTGCTCTTCCTTTGGTAGTTGATCACAGAGCACAATGTTCTGAGACTCTTCAAAAAACAGCAAAATTACTCAAAAACACTGGCAGTCAGAGGCTTTCTGATCAGGAAACGGCTGGCAGTGAATGGGTTAGGGTTTAAGCTGCAGGTGGAGAGACCAGAGAGAGATTTGTTAACTATAATCGGGCCCTTACATTCCTGGAGGACAAGAAGTCCAGACCCTCAGCCACTTGGTAGGAAAACCTCATGAGGTCAAAGACAGACAACGTGCCGATGAGCTGACCTGAGAGACAGAAAGTGAGAAACAGGTAAGTTCAGGTTGGGTTTAGAGTGCATTCAGCATAACTCAAGGTCTAACCTGGGTCAGTGTGTCCTGGGCTCAGAGCCGGCTTCACCTCCTGGTAGTCTGACCAGCACGAGATCCCACTGTCACTACAGCACACATGATTGGACAGAAGTCAGCCAACAGCAGGAAAGTCCCCCTCCTACAGGTCTGGAGGAGCATCAGACTGTAGCTAACACATTCATGCCTATTTGGTCAAGAAGCAAAAAGGTAAGCAGGTGTGGAGGGAGGTCACCAAACCAGTGGCGTGGACCGGATCTGACGAAACCCTAACCCTAAATGTTATTTCTACAGCACTCATCACAGACATAGAATCACAACGTGCTCCACATAGATTAAAACAAAACAAGCATAAAGTCATAAAATCATAATGATCTCAAAACAGAAATGGATTAACATCAGGAAAAATGAATTCATTAAATTACAGAATTTCATAAACAGATGAAAGACGATACAAATTTGAGTTAAAAATAAGAGATTAAAAGTTTTAGCTAAAAGCAGCTTTAAATAAAAAGGTCTTCAGCTGTTTTATAAAAGTGTCCAGACTGTCAACGCTGCGTAAGGATAAAGGAAGGTCATTCCAGAGTCGGGGTGCAAAGTCTGGAAGGAGAGATCAGCTCGACTTTTCTATCTGGTCTTTGGAGCTTCTAGAAGGTTCTGGTGGGTGGACCTGAGGGCTCGGGTTGGAGCATAAGGCTTTAACAGTTCAGTAGTATAGGGAGGAGCTTGACCATGTAAAGCCCTGAAAGTTCTAGTCAGGACTCTAAAATGAACTCTAAAGTTAACGGGTAACCAGTGCAGAGGCGTCAGAATAGGAGTGATGTGCGCTCTTCTGTTTGCTCCAGTTAGGATCCTCGCTGAAGAGCTCTGGACCAACTGAAGGCGGTCAAGGGCTTTTGTGTTTAAACATGTGAAGAGTGTGTTACAGTAATCTAGACGGGAGGAGATAAAGGCATGGAGAACCATTTCAAGTTCATGTTTTGACACCAACCTTCGCAGTTTGGAGATATTTCTTAAGTTTGGGACCAATGTTTTTGAGTGGCCTTCAAGAAACATTGGTTGGTCAAAAACACCCAAATTCCTCAACTTTGTCTTGACGGCAGAGGATAAACGACCAAGTTTTAGACTAATCAGGGGAACCATGCTCTCAGGGGCAATGATCAGACATTCAGTCTTTTCAGAGTTTAACTGGAGGAAGTTATCTTCTAGCCAGCTGGTGATCGCTGATAGACAGTCTAGTAATTCAGACAGTTTGTAGAACTCAGAGTCCTTAAAGGAGCAGTACAGCTGAATGTCATCTGCATATAGGTGATAAGAAACATTATTAAAAGAATCAAGTATCTGTCCAAGAGGGTGTACGTACAGTAGAAACAACAGTGGACCCAAAACAGAGCCTTGGGGTACCCCACAGAACAGATCAGTAGAATCTGACATGATTTGGTTTATACAGACACTGTAACTTCTGTTAGAAAGGTACGATCTAAACCAGTCTAGAACAGTTCCAGAGATCCCCACCGAGCCACCAAGTCTGTTAATGAAGGTGCTGTGATCAACAGAGCCAAAAGCTGCAGAAAGATCTAACAGTACTGCAGCCATCATGATGTCACTGGAAACTTTAAGCAAAGCTGTTTCTGTTGAACGCTTTTTACCAAAACCAGACTGGAATTAATCAAACCTGTTGTGTAGTTCCAGAAAAGTAATCAGCTGATCTGCTACAACCTTTTCCAATATTTTAGAGATAATGGGTAATTTAGAAATGGGTCTGTAATTTTTAGGCTGAGATGAGTCCAGACTTGGTTTTTTAAGGATTGGTTCAATAACTGCATGCTTGAAAACAGACGGTACAGAGCCAGATTGTCGGGATAAACTAATAAAATCTACAATGCATGGGCCAATTTGGTCAAACATCCTGATGAACAAGGTAGTAGGAATGAAATCAGCAGGGCATGAGGTTGGTTTCATGTGTTTCTGAATGAGGCAAATGTCCTGGAAATCTACAGGCAGTGGCGGTTCTACATGGAATTACTCCCCGGACGAGGCCCCCTTTGAGCCCCCCCCCCCCCCCCCCCCCCACACACACACACACACACAGTTATTCTCTTCTCCTGTTCCCACACTTAGCGGCAGCTCCGTGCTACAGACAGAAGTTTACTCAACAGCATAAAAATGAATCGTGCATGCAGACCCCCCCCCCCCCCCCCCCCCCCCCCGCCGGCTCACTCTTCTCGCGGATCGGAGGTGGTAGGCGTAATTTCAGCCGGCCAATCAGTCCGTAGTGCCGCCTCGGTCCCAGTCTGACCGCTGGGGTGAAGGTCTGAGAGAAAGAGTCGCCCCGACACCACAAACACAAATCTGACCTGTGTGTGAAACCAAATTCCGGTGCCGTTTGATAACTCTTGGGGGCGTGCCGACGCTAATGTGTAAGCGCCATTTTTCTCAAACCTTCTCCTGTGGCTTAACCCGAGGCTTCACCTCCTTCTGTGGCTTCGCTCTATTACCGGAGTGAGAAAATGGGAGAGCATCACTCCAGTATTACATGCACTGCTGTGGCTTACAGTAAAGCATTGCATTAAAGTCAAGATTCTGGTATTTACATTCAAGTCACTAGCAGGGACTGCGCCGCCTCATCTATCATCACTGCTGCAGAAACACACACACCCTCAGGATCACTGCGCTCCACTGCCAACAACCAAATGGTTGATCCACGATCTAAAAGTAAGAGTCGCGGAGATCGAGCTTTTAGTGCTTTTGCACCAAACTTGTGGAATGGCCTTCCACTGAAATTAAGACTCACAACTACACTTGAGGCTTTTAAAGCAAAATGAAAAATGCACTACAGACTCCCAGCACCCCGTTTGGCCTCTGATCTGATAGTTTAACTGATGTACCTGGCTTTTAGATTGTATCTATGATTTTATTGTTTTAGTTCTTAACATGAATTCATGTATAGTACTTTTTACTCCTTATGAAGTATCTTTTGCTATTTTAATGCTTGTTAATTTTACACTGCTGTGTTCAGCGCTGCCTTGGTTTGCAGCAGGAAGGCTCTCTATAAATGAATGAATGAAATGAAGGCTTAGATTCAAGCCCTGTGGACTTTTCACGACTCCTCCTGAATAAAGGACTATTGTTTGTTGAACTCAAAACTCTCAGTGTCGTTCTGGGTTTCCTGCACGTACGGTCCAATCCTCTACTCACAGTGACATGTTCTGTACTATCAAACGAATGTTAAACAGATTTACTCCTTATACTAAATGAAACGAGTTTTCTAAGCATCACAGAAATGGGAGTGCCTGAGGCTCTTGGTAAATACCTAGACACATATCTCAGATCTGGTTGATCAAAGTTTATAAACTACCATTTCATTAAAAGTGAACTCACTTCCCATTTCTGCCAGTTCCACCAGAAGCCACCTGGGAAGTATCCTCTGACCAGTTGTGCGTATGCTGGGGGTGTCTATGATCTTCAGACACATCTAAAGCCCGCTCACTCGCTCTGAGAGACGGCTTCACCTGCAGACTGGAGCTCCAAGAGCTTCCACGGACCAGGGTGTGTAGACTAAATGCCTGCTAGGTGTGGCTTTTCTCCTAAGATTATAATTGAGGTGTACTAATTTAGCAACAAGGGCTTGCATGGGAAAAATCACTTTTTGTGTGTGCAAATGAACAAATCTTGTTAGTAGCCAATGGCCCGTGTTAGTGGGAGTATGTAGTGGTGTGGCGTCTCACTGGAGAATGTTGAATCTGAAAGGAAACTAAAGGTTTTCTGACAAATGTGGCGGATTGTCCTCATTTACGCCGAGCTCTGTACTTATGTATCACGCTTGTACAACATAATAATATCGTCCCTAAACTTTTATTGTTGAAGGTGAGAATCATTTTGTTAGGGCATAAAAATAACCACCCCAGATGATGCTGGGATGACTTACAGAAACCAGTCCTGAGCACAGGTGAATGATACCATCGAGTCAAAGGTAGACAGGAGCTGAGCCAGTAACCGGATGAATTGTCCCACAAGTCTCATCGTGTAAAAACGACGGTGAAGTCTAACCTGCGCAGTCGGGGGGGCTGCACCGCTATGTTCTTATAACAGGCGTCGTCCTCTTCCACACTCATCATGGACACCATGAAGTCCTGAGCATGAGCCCGCAGAAAGTTCAGCAGGTCGCCATGACTACAGTATTCAGTGATCATTAGCATGGGGCCTGTCAACATGGGAGAGATTGTTTGAAGGTTTAAAGCAACATCAGCAACAGGAATCTTTTGTTAAGCTAGCCAAAACTCAAAGCTAATCCCGCCATAAACTGCAGCTCCTCCAGAATGCTGCAGCACGTGTCATCAGTCACCAGGTCTTCATCTTCTCATCACATCACCCCCATCCTGCAACAGCTTCATTGGCTCCCCATTAAACAAATAATCAGCTTCAAAATTCTGCTCATCACATTCAAAGCTGTCCATAACCTGGCTCCACCCCACACATCTGATCTCATTCTCGTCGCTCCTGTCCACGCTCTTCCTCTTCTGCTCCTCGACTCTCAGCTCCCCCCGCTTGCCTCGTCACTACGGGGAGTAGAGCATTCAGCCGCTCTGCTCCCCACCTATTCTCTCCCCCCGATCTTCATACCACTCACTCTCTCCCACTTTTTAAATCAAAACTCAAAAGCCACCTCTTCACTCAGGCTTTTACCACCTAGTTTTAAACACACTGTTTTACATGTTAGCATCTTAGTGTCTTTACATATTTCTGTACTGTTTATCTTGTTTATTTATTTATTTTTTCCCATCGTTGTAAAGTGTCCTTGGGGATCATGAAAGGTGCTAAAATGTATTATTAGAATTAAACTGGTTCAGATTATCTCTGAAATTTAAAGACACGTTATTCAGGATGCTGGTTTTGACCAGTTCAGACAGATGAAGACTGGTTTTAGACTGGTTCAGTCCAGTTCAAACCGACATGATGAGATTGGAACGGACTAGCTCAGACACAGCAAAAAACTTCTCCTGTGAATAAATTCTTGCTTACCTCCTTGAGTGCATGCTCCCAATAAGTTCACTATGTTGTCATGGTAACCAAGATGGCTGAGGATTTTCATTTCTGACATTAGCGCGTCCCGTTCCTCTGAGTGAGCTCGTGCTATTGATGGACACATGAAGATCCTGTTGTCTCTCTGTGGGAGGGGTGGGTGATGATGATGATGATGAAGATGAGGGAGGTTAGCTTACTCACGTTTCAACATCTTGACCGCCACTCTGGTGGCTTTGTCTTCCGTTCCCAGACCATATGCTGTTGCTTCAACAACCTTCCCAAAGGCCCCGGAACCCAAAACTGCACCTGACAGACGAAGAGTCGCACATAGCATAACTGGAAAAGAAAGCTGAGGAAGAGGAGGAGGTTTCCATGGTAACTGCATTAATGCTGTATTGACAGCCTCTGAATATGAGGAAGAGCGATAACTTTATACCTAGTCTGAGTTTGTCACGAGGAAACTCCCACTTCTGGTTGTACAGCAGCTGGGTGGGGTCAACGAAGGTGTAGTTGTTCCCATCAGTGCTCTCGATAATCTTCCACCGAATCTCAAACTTCGGTTTCTAAATGATAGAGGATAAGTGACCCACATTTGTAAAGCACCTTTCTGAGTCAGAGGACTCAAATAGAAGAGATAAAAAACTCACTTTCCCACAACCCCTCTTTTTCAGACTCCACCCCCATTTGTTGTCCAGGAAGTAAAATGAAGCTTTCACGCTCATGTAAAAGGCCACGGCGCCCGACTACGATCACAGCGGTCTGAGGCTCCACTTGTCATTTAACAGTCCCGGTCCATATTATTGGCCATTCCCATCTGTACCGGGTCGGCCCGGGCCGGGTAGGCCCAGTCGGCCCCAGCCTGGCCCGGTTGATTCCACACATCCTTGCCTTAAGCCCATGTGGGCTGATTCTACCCACCAATCAGAGGCTTGCTCTAATGGAAGGTGTGAATTTGCTGTCAGCAGTGGGTGTGTTGGCCCTGGTCGGCCTGAAGCAGACCCCCTCGAGAAGAGGGCTGAGAATGAGCCTTGGTTGGCCCGGAAAAATACCAGGCCACCCAGATATGTAAACAACCTACGCTACCCGGCCCGGGCCGACCCGGTACAGATGGGAATGGCCCATTAGATCTCCACAGGCCAACAGCATGACCACAGCCTCACACGAGGAATATCCCGGTCCAAGCAGCCCTTCTCAGCTTCTTGGGCTAGCCAAGTTAGCTAGTAGCTACTCTGGTCATTTGTTCCAACCCTGTTCCAAACGTAACAGCCCCACCCTCAGCTCCACCTCTTTTTCCATTTTTGGATTTTCTGGGTGTAATAGGACCAGTGACATGGACAAAATGGCGGTGGTGGGAACCTCCCATTTGGGCACAAACATTTTTTAAAATGAACTGCCGCCATCTTTGTAGTTTTTATGCATCACAGCTCTTGTCCTAAGTCTGCCCAATGACTCTACAAACATAGAGCGCTGTAATTGTTGTCAACCCGCTGACGCTACAACGGGGCTTGGGTAGACCGACCTGCGGAGCAGAATCTTGACTCAGCGGATGGTTTAGATTAGCTAAACTCACCTGTCTGCATCTGTAGAAGACAACCAACAGAAGTAGGAAAAGGATGGCTGCAGCACTCAGAGCGCCGATCAGAGCTGGTGTGAAGACGGTAGAGACTCTGGCGGAACCTGACAGCAGAAATGTTTGGTTCTTTTCCAACAGATTACAGTTCATGGATTAACACTGAAACCAGTCCTTACATTATTTCCCCATAAATCTTAATCCCCACTTATTCTTGTTTATGTGTTAATCATAACCCCACAGTGAGCCTAATATATCAGTAGTAACCTCACTAATCATGGTGTTCCTGGACGGTGGCTCTGGAGAAGCAGGGCTGAACAATCATCTTCTAGATTAACCGAGATCTCATCATTAATCCTAATCCTAACAATCCTAATCTCCATATTAATCTGAAAAATTACATTAAACCTAACCTTTACACCAAAACAATCCCCACTGGCACCTTTTTCTTGACACTTACGATGAACAAACACGTCACGAATTTCTCCCACCAGGTTGTACGCCACGCACACGAATATGACATCCTCATCAGCTGACAGCGGGAGGTGCATCTTCACCTCCTCCACCCCTTCCTGTGAGGTCATACTAGTGTGAGACACCTGGTGGGTGGAGGTGTTTTCACACCTGCAGGGTAAATGAAAATGTTTTTTCACATTTACAGTTTGAAGGAACAACCAGAAATGTCGTCTGTTTGGACACGTCAGCAGAAAAACGCAACTGGGGGGGGGGGGGGGGGGTGTTGTGTGAAGCAGAAGGTCACTTACCTGTCCATGCTGGTGCAGGTCAGCCAGTAGACTGTGGGTGGGGGGTGTCCAGAGCTGCTGCAGGTCAGAGACTCGTTCTGCTGAGAGACTGCAGCAGTTGGAGAACCTGCAGTGTTCAAAGTTAAAAGTTTCCTTTTGAAACAGAAGAAATCAGTGAAAAACAGGTAACTGAAGACACTTACGGTAGATTTGGAGGTCCACATCTTGTGACCCGTTAAAGAACCAGTTGGAAAAATAAAAAGAGTATTGACCTCTGTCCTGGTGTCGCACACGCCGCAGGAGCAGGCTGGCCTTTGACCTTTGACATCAAAACACCACAAAATACACCCTCGTCAGCAGTTTTGGGCTAGTTACTCTGAAAAAGTAATTAGTTATCTTTACTAATTACTTCAAGAAAGATAACTGAGTTAGTTACTGAGTTACAAGTAAATGTTACCAATTACTATCTTTGCATTACTTTTTAAAGGAAATGTTGTATCCACACCTAATGGATCTCACTACATTTACCATAAAGTACAAAAATACTTAAATACGGTAAATAGCCTGTATTTCATATAATGCCTTCTAGAGTCCTGGACCCCCCCCCCCCCCCCAGCTGCTTTACAGCACAATCAGCCATTCACACATTCACACCGTGGTGGTGATGAGCTATGATATAGCTACAGCTGCCCTGGGGCGCCCTGACGGAGGCGAGTCTGCCACACACAGGAGCCACTGGTCCCTCCGACCACCACGAGCAGGCAAAGGGGGTTAAGCGTCTTGCCCAAGGACACAACGACAGATGCAGACTGAGTGGGGCTCGAACCTGCAACCTTCCGATTATGGGGCGAGCACTTAACTCCTGTTCCACCATCGCCCCACCAAATATAAATTACTAAACAGACTAAATTGGGTCCAGACCATCCATCCATTTTCATCCGCTTATCCAGAGTCGGGTCGCGGGGGCAACAGCCTAAGGCGAGAGGCCCAGACTTCCCTCTCCCCAGCCACTTGGGCCAGCTCCTCCGGGGTAATCCCAAGGCGTTCCCTGGCCATGTCATGGTCTCTATGGAAACTTTCAGAGAATCCACAAGTAGAGGCTTTCAGATGGTTTTGCTACTAACAGATGTTTGGGAGTTTAGAAAAGAAGCAGATGAGACGGCGTGTCCGACAATTTGATGATGAGCGGAGCGTGTCAGTAACGATAAAAAGACAGAGTCCCCAATGATGTAAACAGATGTGA